ACAGTGACAGTGACAGTGACAGTGACAGTGACAGTGACAGTGACAGTGACAGTGACAGTGACAGTGACAGTGACAGTGACAGTGACAGTGACAGTGACAGTGACAGTGACAGTGACAGTGACAGTGACAGTGACAGTGACAGTGACAGTGACAGTGACAGTGACAGTGACAGTGACAGTGACAGTGACAGTGACAGTGACAGTGACAGTGACAGTGACAGTGACAGTGACAGTGACAGTGACAGTGACAGTGACAGTGACAGTGACAGTGACAGTGACAGTGACAGTGACAGTGACAGTGACAGTGACAGTGACAGTGACAGTGACAGTGACAGTCACAGTCACAGTCACAGTCACAGTCATAATCACAGTCATAATCACAGTCACAGTCACAGTCACACACTCTCAATCACCAATATTGACAATATTTTCTATCCTTATTCCTCCTTCACTCAAACAGACCCTGTAAAAATGGCCGTTGCATTGCGCCCAACACATGCGAATGCGCCCCGGGATACGATTGGGAGCGTAAGAGTGGACAGTGTGTGCCGCACTGCGATTTGCCCTGTTTGAATGGCGTCTGCATCGGGCAGAATAAGTGCGAATGTAAATTGGGCTATGTCGTGGATGAGCGTCGGCCGAATCTCTGCCAGCCGCATTGTCCTCAGGGTTGTCCCAATGGCTACTGCAGCGCGCCAAACTTCTGCATCTGCAAGCCGGGCTTCATCAAGAGTGGCATCAAGGGACGCCAGAGCTGTCAGCCCGTCTGAATAATTGGATTTGTCATCGTGAATTTATTTGCATTTTTTCCATTTTTGATTTGTTATTTAAGAGCTACGACCAATTAAAGAGACGACCAATTAACGCATTAAACTCGTATTTCATGTCCTCATTGAGTTCTGCTCGCTGCTGCCAGCTGCTCAGCTTTCGTTCAATATGTTGTGGCTCCAGGCATTGGCCGACGTAGTGCGTCTGTCCAGCTGGACACTCGCAGTGGCCATTGGCATCGCAGCTGCCATTCAGACAGTGCTGTTCGTTTGGAACACAGCCGCAGACATTGGGCGACAGACATTTGCCATAGTCACCACAGGAGCTGCAAGAGATCAAATTATATATACTAAATATTGCTCGAAAACTAATCATATTTAATGATGAGCAAACACTTTTCTCTTTTCCAAATATTTATATTTTTCAAATTGTTAAAATAAAACCAATAAGACTAATTAAATATCACATCGATTTAATAATTTTTGGAACCAGATATCTTTAGCAGTATTTAGAGTAGTGCACTTTGTAGGAATATTTTTGTTCGATTTAATTTAATTTTAAGAATAATTCTAAACATAAAGAATTAGTCTTAAAATGAAATTATGGAATTTCAAAATTAATTAATTATTTTATTTGATTCGAAGCATAAATTTTTAAGCTTTAAGCCTTACGTCCTATAAAAATATATATATATATTATGATGTGATATATATATTTATATTATTTGCATATTTTTTGGATATATGTATCTTGATTTGACCTAAAAGAACATAAAGAATATTTTTTAAAATTTCTAAATTAAATTTCTGTTAGAAACCTAAAAATATTTATAATTTTAATGAACAATTTGAAAATAAAATATATTTTGGAAAATCTGTATACGTTTATCATGAATATTTAGATACAGAAATGAAAACTGTGCTTCTTTAGATTTTATCATAGCTGTGGCTAGTTACAAAACAGTTGACTAGGAGAGGGATATTTAGAATTAGTTGTTATGATCAGAATTCAATATTTGTTTTATATTTGCCATCTTAGACCTACCTCTCGCACTTGGGCTCACAGCTGTTGCCGCGCAGTTCGTAGCCCTCGAAGCAGCGACAGATGCCAGGCGCAATGCACACTCCATTGCCACGCCCACAGTCGTCCGGGCAAACTGGCAGGCAGCTGGTTGTGTTCACATCATATTGATAGCCCGTACGACAGTTGCATTTGAAGCGGGACTCACAGAAGCCATTCTCGCAGTGTCTGCGAATGAAAGAATCGAAAGGGAATTGTAGCAGGAAAGCTTTTGATTCAGAGATCAGCTGACACGTACAGATAGCATTCGGCCTCGCAGACGTTGCGCTGTCGCCGCTTGATGAAGCCCGGAATGCATTCGCATTGATTGGGCGCCACGCATTTCCCGTAGCCACAGTCCGGCGCACAGATGGGCTGGCAGCCCAGCTCGGGGCTATGTCGATAGCCCGGCAAGCACTCGCATTTATCGGGCGCCACGCACTGCTCATGCGTGCCACAGCCTTTGGGGCAGCGGGCACGGCAAAAGAGTCGAGTCTCCGGATCCAGAATATAGCCCGGTTGGCAAACACAGGTGCCATTCAGATAGCAGAGTCCGTGCTGGCAGGCGATCGGACAGGTGTGTATGCAAGCACCTTGCTCGTTGCGCACAAATTCCGGGAAGCATTCGCACTGGCCTGTGACGCGGCAGAAGCCGTTCCGGCAGTTGTCCGGCGTATTGAGCCCACAATCCGGCACACATTGCCCGCTATACGGATCTGTTCGATAGCCAGCGCAGCACTGCTCGATTCGCTGGAAATAGATGCTGGAACCATTGCCACGCACCGGCTGATTCTTGTGAGTCTGAAAAAAGATGGCACTACGACAATATTATTGGCCTTTATTGATTTGCTCCCCCCAATCTGGTAGCATTGGTTGACCTACTTACGGCAGTTCGCGCTGACACAGATTCGTCTGCGTTAGACTTAGTGACTCAAATGCTAGTGCTGTGCGTATATCGCCATACAGCTCCGATCCCACTGCGAAGCCCAGCAGCATCAGCATCAGCTGAGGCAGCAGTTCAGTCCAGTTCCATTTCCATTTGATGTGCATTTCTCGCGTTGTTTACTTCAACAGCTTCTTGAAGCGAATGAGCGCAGTGATTCAGATTCAGCGCCTTATCAGCTAGAGTAGAAAAATAGAAAAAGAGTGAGCAAGAGAGTGACCGAGCGAGAGAGAGAGAGATAGAGAGAGAAAAAGAGACTTTTACTGACGCTCTCAAGGAAGGGAGCTAATCCACCCTGCGATAACTACAAATAAACTAAACCGTAAACCAGAACTGATCCTAAGTTTCTGCTCGGAACTTATCAATATTAATAATCGACTGTAAGTTGTGCAAAATAGAATGTAATAAAGAATTCAAATACAATGTATAATTGTATAATTATCTGAATATAATAAAATTACAATTTTCCTTTCTAATCAAATCTTTTTTTGAAACATATGTCTGCGACAATCTGCGATTTTCAAGCCTTAGATAACATGGAACATAAAATAGAAAACATTTTGGCTCAAGCTGATTAAGGGTATTTAAGTATATTATATAATATAGTCGGGTAGTCCCATCATGTTAATATTATTAAGTGCACTCATATTAAGTGCATATACATACGTACATAATGTGTTTTTTTTTTTATATATATTTTTTT